CACACACACACACACACACACACACACACACACACACACACACACACAGAGCTCAAAGTCAGGCACACAGGTCACATCCTCACTACTACAGAAAATCTTTTCAGACTCAAATCTCAGTCCATCACAGCCCAATGTTCTCAAAGCAAGAGACTCTAAAGTGGGTGAAAATGTATTAAAGGAAGAATCAAGTACAGGGTATGTGTTGGATTTAAATGTGTTGCTTTTACTCTGTGAGGAAAGGTCACGGGGCACGACAAAACCCAGTATCAGAGCTTTATTGGGGGTGGGGGTGGGGGGCAGAAGAGAGTGACCAGGCCTGTGAAAGAGGCATGCAGGGAGAGAGAGAGAGTGGGGGAGGAGGAGAGAGCAGAAGAGAGGGGAGGAGTCTGTGGCCGGCTTTTTAAGGATTTCCCTGCACATGCGCATGTGGGCTTGCGGAGCTATGCCACGCTGTGCACGGGTGATGTAAGATACAAGACCCCTTGCTTGGCTACTGAACTGCACATGTGTGGTCGTGCGGCTGGAGGAGTGGCAGAATCCTAACAGTACGACCCTGGAAACTTGTTCTCACCAGTAGGAGGAACCCAAGAAGGGAAGACTTCACTGAGAGTGGCCATGGCAAACACAGGGCTGTGGCTCTGAGTATCTCAGATCCAGTGCACACAGGGTCTGCCGTCCAAAGCACACTTCTGACATATGCCACACCACAAATGCCAAGCAAGCCGGGGCAAATGATGTCCACATCCACCATGAGGAGCTTAGGGAACTAACTGAGCAGGTGTCTTAGTTAGTGTTTTCTGTTGCTTCGAAGAGACGCCATGACCACGGCAACTCTTATAAAGAAAACATTAATTGGGGTGGCTTGTTTACAGTTTCAGAGGTTCAGTCCATTATCATCATGTCAGGGAGCATGGTGGATGTGCAGGCAGACATGGTGATGGAACAGAGTGCTACAATTGCAGGCAAGGAAGTCAACTGCAGTCGTACTGAGGGAAGCTGGGGCAAAAGAGACCTCAAAGCCCATCTCCACAATGACACACTTCCTCCAACAAAGCCACGCCTTCTAGAAATGCCACTCCATTTGGGGGCCATTTTCTTTCAAACTACCACAGCAGGTTCTGAATGGGAAAGAAATTTAGGGGGCTTTTCTAGATGCTGTAAATCTAGAAGAGAACCCTTTATGGAGGTATACCTGGTCAGACAAGGAGGTTAAATATTTTTTTTTATCAGCGTCCATTACTAAGCAGCCCACCAAAAGCATGTCTGTTTAGGTAGCATCCAAGAGACAGGGTATCCTGGGGAGGGTGTTGTCAGGGTTACATGTAATTCAGTACTTCATTCTCTCCCCCTGGAATGGGCCAAGCAACAGATAACATGGAGGGAAGAGAGGAGTTGGCAATCAGATCCAAAAGGTGAAGCGTAGCTGAGGACATCACACTGAAAGCTGGACAGTATCGTCCTGAGATACTCAGTGCACAGCAGAGCTGCCTCGGGGACCTCTGTGCCATTTATTTTAAGTGTGTGCATGCTAAAAATCTGGACATCCATAGAGAGATGTGTAGGCTACTCTGGGAACCGAAAGAGCTATCCTCAGATCAAAACTGATGAAGTTCTTTGCTGTGGATATCACTCTGTATAAATAAAATGCTGATTGACCCATAGCCAGGCAGGAAGTACAGGTGGGACAAGCAGAGAAGAGAACTATGGGAAGTGGAAGGCTGAGGCAGAAAGATGCTGCCAGCTGCCACCATGAGTACCAACATGTAAGATACTGGTAAGCCACGAGCCATGTGGCAAGGTATAGATTTATAGAAATGGGTTAATTTAAGATGTAAGAACTAGATAGCTAGAAGCCTGAGCCATTAGGTCAAACAGTTTAAATAATGTAAGTCTCTGTGTGTTTACTTGGTAGGGTATGTGTGGCTGCGAGACTGGCAGGTGAGAGAGATTTGTCCTGACTGTGGGCCAGGCAGGACCAGAAAAACTCTAGCTACAGTCCTTTGACTAATTAGTCTTTTTTGGGGCCCACATCTTTATACTGACTCCATCTAGATTGAATCAAACCACTCATTTGGGCTAATGATGGGCATAAAACTGAGAAATGGGACGGAATTTAAAAGACTTTGAAAAACAAAAATAATGTTTAGAGAGACCTTGCCACACTGGCCCGGGACAGAATTTCTTTTGACACACTACCTAGCTTTGGCTTGACTTCTCCTGTGAGGGGGAAGTTCATTACTTTGTGAGACCTGTTTGCCATGCAAAAGTTCATCCTAAACTGGGCTGTGGTGGCATGCACCTTCAATCCCAACACTCGGGAGGCAGAGGCAGGAGGATCTCTGTGAGTTTGAGGACAGCCTGGTCTACAAGTCCCAGGACAGTTCCAGGACTGTTACACTGTCTCAAAAAAAAAAAAAAAAAAAAACAAAAAACAAACAAAGTTCCTCCTAACCTGAGCTGAATCCTTCTCATTTACAATTTATGCCCCTCTAATTCTATTTTGTAGGATTTTGTATATGTAAAGTGCTGTCAACCTGGAAATGGCGGCCAGCAAATGTATACCCAGCAACCCAGAAGCACGAAGGCCAGGAAAGCTATAGTGAGACAGATATTGCCTCAAAACTGAGTGCTATCAGACTTACCTAAACATTCTCTTTCCTCGTCTTCCCTCCTTTCTGTCAACCAGCTCTTATTTTCTGTTTGTTTGTTGTTTGTTTTTGAGACAGGGTTTCTCTGTGTAGCCCTGGCTATCCTGGAATTCACTTTGTAGACCAGGCTGGCCTTGAACACAGAGATCTGCCTGCCTCTGCCTCCACTCCCAGCTTTCAGTCAGCTCTTAGAACGATAGAGCCTCAAAACCATTCTCTTGATTCTAACATCTCTTTGAAAAAGACTGGTGATAACACACTAGATCTGCTCAAATTCATACAGATCTCAATTATGCACACCCCCTTCAAAGACCATCAGAAGAAGGTGTGTGGTAGGGCAGTCCCGTATTCCTAGCACTTGAGATTCAGGCAGAAGGATCAAGAGTTCAAGGACAGACTGAACCAAAGGAGATCTTGTCTTTAAAAAAAAAAAAAAAAAAAAAAAAGGAGCTCATTGTGTTATGTTTCAGCCTTTTGTAGCTGAAAAATTAAACCACCATGTTCTTTTTCATAGGAAATCCTTTCAAGTTAGTCAATAGTAGACTTATAAATAAGTTTGGTTTTGTTTGTTTTTTTTTGAAACAGGGTTTCCATATGTAACCTGGGCAGGCCTGCAGCTACGTAGACCAGGTTAGCTTTGTGCTTTCAGGGATCTTCCTATGCCTGACTCCAGAGTGCTAGCTTATAGGCATAAGCTGCCAAGCCCAAAAGAAATGCATCCTGAGTAGGCAAGATGGCTTAGCAGGTAAAGGGGCTTGCCATCACTCCTGAGGAGAACCCAAGTTCAATCCCCAGGGCCCACATGGCAGAAGGCCAGAACAGACTCCTGAAAATGGTCCCCTCTAATCTCCATGTGGCACACACACACACACACACACACACACACACACACACACACACACACTATAAATAAGCTATAATGTAATTATATGTAACTTTAAAAAAAAGATTTATTTATTTATTATGTATACAGCATGTATGACTGCGGGCCAGAAGAGGGCACCAGATCTCATTACAGATGGTTGTGAGCCACCATGTGGTTGTTGGGAATTGAACTCAGGACCTCTGGAAGAGCAGTCAGTGCTCTTAACCTCTGAGCCATCTCTCCAGCCCCCAACATATGTAACTTTTTAAGTAAATAAATCTTTCCTAGTATACAACTGATTTCCTCCTTTGAAATACATATCTCAAGTCAAGTACAGTGGCATACCCCTAGAATCCTAGTACTTGAAGAAACTGAGTCAGGAGGATCTCAAGCTAGGGCCAGCCTAAGCTACATAGCAAGAGGCTGTCTCCAAATAAGCAAAACCCAGAGCCCTACGGCAGGCCAGCTGAGTCTCTTTCAGTTCCCCTCCTGCTGGCCTGCTCTCTCCAGGTATGACTTCAGAATGTGTGCTCAGCATGCTAGAGGCTCAGGGGTCAAGGTCCAGCACTTCACATCAAATCACCTTTCTTTGACTTACATAAAAAAGAAACTTAACTCATGACCAGCAACCACTATCTGTAATCACAGTACTAATGAAACAGATCCTGGCCAGTCCTCACATCCCTAGTGCAGAACCAACAGACTCTCAGTTCCTCAACTCAGCATCTAGGAGCCTCCACATTCATTCCCCCCCGGTAACCTCTACATCAACCTCTTCCCCAATAACCCCCACCACACACAATCTGCTCCATTCCAAAGGCTTCAGCCTTCAGGGACCACAGGTGCCCATCCCAGGACACACAAATTCCTCAGGTACAAAATACTTTACCCCAGACAAAAACCGAAACAAAATTCCTTTTCCCTACATGAGCCATGCTACACTCAACGTGTGAAGTATGACTCAAATCCCACAGCCATCATGGTGACACAAGCCTTTAATCCCATCACTTGAAAGGCAGAGGCAGGCCGATCTCTGTGAGTTCGGGCCCAAGCCTGGTCTACAAAGCGAGTTCCAGGACAGCCAGAACTACAGAGAAACCCTGTCACAAAACAGAACAAAACAAAGCAAATGAATGCATGGTTCAAATCCTAAACCCGAAGTTTGCCGAGAGCTTTTGGTCGGCAGTTGGCTTCTCCCTTGGAGAGACAGCCCCCTGCCTTCAGGAACAGCAATGATGATGCTCCCTCTGGTTTCTGGGGCAACAGCTTGTCTTTGCAACCATTCTCCAAGGACAATGCCCCCCCTTCTACTTCCCATAACTCTCACACACAGCAGAAGCAACAGAGGCACTTCACCTTATTCTCCACTCCCCTCACATCACTCCCATGACTTTGAACTTACCTTTCTTGGCGCACTCGCGGACTCAGGAACCTGCTGGAATCATCGTCGTGGCTGCTCTGTTGGCTGCTCTGCTGGCTGCTGAGGAAAGACACAGGATGTGAACCGTTAGAACTTCTCTGGCTTTCTCAACCCTGGGGGAGGCCATCCAGACCTCAGCTATACAAAGACACGGGGTTACAACATCAAGCGAATGCAGAGAGAGTGCTTCCAGAGTGGAAGTGGGGGTGTGAGCTGAGAAGACATTTAACTGACTGAAAGTCACTGTCTGACATCCAAGGCATCTCTGCGGCTGTCCAGACCGGAGAAGGAAGAGCCTGATCTACTACCCAGGTCCCTAGGTATGTACGCCTCTGTAAACAAGCACTGACAGCTCCCAACTCGGTTGCTTAAGATCTCTGATGGGACAGTGATCCATTCTTCCTCAACCCACCCAAGCCCCCAAGGAGCTGGTGCAGATAGGAGAGGGTAGGGCTTGTAAGGTTGGAGGGAGGGAGACTGCCAGAAGGCAGAGACTTGAAGGGTTCTGCACCACCTACTGGGTCCGCTGCCCTGCCCCCAGGGAGGGCTGAGAGTAAGGGAAGAAAAGGGCAAAAATCCCTGATCGATCTTCCTATTCTGTGGGCTGGAGGAATACAGAGCTCAATTCAAAAGCAGAGTTCTAAAGGTGGGTGTGGTGGCGCACACCTTTAATCCATGCGCTCGGGAGGCAGAGGCAGATGGAGTTTGAGGTCAGCCTGGTCTACACTGCATACTCCAGGACAGCCAGGGCTACACAGAGAAGCCCTGTACCCCCCCCCAAAAAAAAACCCACAAACAAACAAAAAACAAAATAGCAGAATTCTATACATGTAAATATATTTAAAACTATTTTTAATAGAATTTTGCTCCAGGGTTGCTGATCCATGTAATTTCATATTCTTGTCGTGCACCACGTGGGGGTACAAGCTGGAGAAGAAATTCCAAGTCACACAGCTCCAGAGGCAAGCCTCAAGAGAGGTGTCTCAGTGTACTCCACGGAAAGAACTTGGCAGTGTAGCAGGAATCTTAGAAGGTCTTATTAATAAAATCAAACCCGGGGCCAGTTATTTGGGGTGAAATGCTGGATGGTCAGAGAGACAGAACAAGCCACAGCTAACCTCACCTGGCCAACTTCTCAGCTGATCCTGTTTCCTCAGACTGGAAGCCTCTGTGTCCTCATCCCAATGGCTCTCAGCTGAACTGCTGCTCGAAAACCTGAACGCTTAACCAGCCAAATTAACCAGCCAAATGCTTCTAGTTTCTGGTCCTCACGCCTTATAAACTTTTCTGCTTTCTACCACCACTCCCTGGGATTAAAGGCTGCTTTCTGGGATTAAAGGCGTGAGTCACCATGCCTGGTTGTTTCCAATGCGCCCTTGAACTCACAGAGATCCAGAGGGATTTCTGTCTCTGGAATGCTAGGATTAAAGGCGTGTGCAAACATTTTCTAGCCTAAATATCTTGTGGCTTTTCTGTTCTCTGACCCCAGGTAAGTTTATTAAGGTACACAATATTTTGGGAAATACAATGCCACCACATGGCAGGAAAAGCTGAAGAGGAGTGTCTAAAGTTCAGGATTTATGCCCTTTTTAATAGTCAACAGGCTCAACTAACCCAAAAGACCATGATGAGCATCACAGCCTCTCTGAGGAATAGGCTGGTTTTGATCTACTTTGGCCATAACAGGCTGGTACTTCCTGCTCACCCTACCTTTCTTCTGGCAACCAAAACTTAAAATTAAGCTAATTATAAGAGATTCTAGACCAAAATGATTATCAATATACCAGTTTCTGAAAAAGTAATTTTGACCTGATATTAGCAAGCCATCCCACTAGATGGCACTGTTGTTTCCCAAATCACAACCAAACCAGCACCACAGTCATCAGAATGAGTCGATTTTTGGGCGCCCCCTTCTGGTCTTCCCATGGTTTGGAAAGTTCAGTTTACAGGAAATAAAAACAACTGGTGGCCTTCACAATGTGTATTCGTTCCAAGAAACGAATTAATACTCACTGAAGGCCAACAAGATGGCTCAGTGGGTAAAGACGCTTGCCTCCAATTCCTGAGACCTGCAACCTGAGTGCTATCCCAGAGTTCACACTGGGGAAGGAAAGAACCACCTACCAAAAGCTGTCTATGGCACACACACACACACACACACACACACACACACACACACACACACACAGAATTCTTGAATATACAGAGGGAGCCCAGCAGACTCCTGGTTTTGTTCCCCACATGCCTACTACTGCAGAAGTTTATCTTAGATGGTCCCATTAATACTCTCAACACTGGGAAGGGCTGGGGAAAATCCATGGTAATTCACAAAGCAAGCTCCAGAAGGCAGGCCATGGTTGGGAAGCTTTGCAATGCATGCTGGACACATTCCCTTGACTCCACTGAACTACCATCCACCTCCCGACCCCAAGGAACAGACCCATGCAGAAAGTACAAGCTAACCTCACAAACCACAAGCAGATACCCTTGTGCCCTCTGAAGGCGCAGCTCAACGACTGGGGAGATGGGACCCGGCATCTTTTGGATATTTTTATTTAATTTAGCATCTTATTCTATTTTTGCAGGACTGGGGATAGAGCCCAGGGTTTTTCACGTGCTTAAAAAAAAAAAAAAAAAAAAGTGCTCTACCATCACGGAAACATCAGCTTGCTTTTATTTCGAGACAGTGTCACACTAAGTTTCCCAGGTTGACCTTGAACTCACTATGTAGTCCCAGGCTTGAACTTTCAAGCCTCCTGCTTCAGTTTCCCCAGTAGCTCAGATTCCAGGCATGTACCACCACATCCTGCCCAGCCCCATTTCTGAAAGGGCATTTCCTGCGCACAATCAGCTCTTCCTCTCCCAGGCCATCAATGATGCACTGCTCTCTCAAGCCCGGAGAGAGGTTTGAGACTTAGGCGGACTCAAGCTGCCACGAGACTTGCAAGATGGAATTCACTATTCCCCAAGCTTGATGGGAGCCACCCACACCAAGGCTGCAGAGACCAAAGCGCCCATTTCTCTGCTTTTGGCAATACTCTGCAGACCGCTGCATTAGCAACAATTATCTCATGCTAATTGGGAGTTTCAAAACACAGCCAGTGACAGTTACAGCTGTCTTTGATTAATAAACAAGGAGAAATAAATTCTCTCGGGCTGTGGAAGTGTTAGGAACAGATGAACTTGGTTTTCCCTGGCTTTACTTCTTATTGGCCTTATAACCCCGGGCCAGCTCACTTAATCCTCTCTTAGCCTAATTCCTCAAGAAATAGAGACTTACTGTGTTTAGTCACTACTTAATCCTCAATTTATAGAGCTGGGGATTAAATTGCAAGGAATCCGATCATCATGCCCCAAATCATGGAGACTCAAGTTCTAGTCTTGACTCTGCCACTTAACCATGTGGGAGGGGGAGATTTACTTTTTCCGAAAGGTCAGACGTGCAAAAAGACACGTGGCCTAAAAGAGTGCAATGAGGTTTAGAAATGGTAGAGATTGTGGCAGGCGGTGAATACCGAATAGCCACAGGTAGCTTGCCTGATAGATACTTTGAAACTGCCAAGGGGGTGGTGGTGGCGCACGCCTTTAATCCCAGCACTTGGGAGGTAGAGGTAGGCGGATCTCTGTGAGTTCGAGGCCAGCCTGGTCTACAAGAGTGAGTTCCAGGACAGCCAAGGATACACAGAGAAACCCTGTCTCGAAAAACTAAAGGTAAGATAAATCGACTCTAGTGTTTACACTTTCGGTTTGAATAGGAAAGGCGTATTCAGAAGGAGAAAGGAGGTAGCAGAGAAGCGGAGAATAAAGAAAGGTGGTTTCTGTTTGTCACCTGGCAAGCTTGTCTGGGAAAGTCTAATAATAGAAGTAAGTACACAGATGTGATTGGGACACTGTGAAGGACTGCCAGCTTCCTACACGACACACCTGATAGTCTCAGAGAGTACTTAGAAAATCCCGGGCTGGGAGTGAACTGCCAGTCTGCCTACAGGGCTGGGAGGAGGCTCACTTCTGCTTCACAGCTAGCTCCCGTGGGAGTCTGCCGCAAGAGCGGTAGCTGGACAAAGATTTAGGGGTTCAGAATGCAGCTCAATATTTTCCTCACTCATCCAAACCCACAAACGCTTTTCTGTTGAAGACTTCTTTCACCTCTAAACATGCCCGTGTCTGTGCTTCCTTTGGTTCTGGTTTGTCTTGCTGTTTGAGACCTGGTGTTGTTCTGTAGACTACGCTGTCTGGAATTTTTGTTTGTTTGTTTGTTTTGTTTTGTTTTTTGAGACAGGGCTTGAACTCACATAGACCCGCCTGCCTCTGCCTCCCGAGTGCTGGGATTAAAGTCGTGCGCCACCACCGCCTGGCCCTGTTTTTCCTTTTCTTTATGGCCACTGGTAACACACTGCCCAGTGACTGTTAAATCTTTGTCAAAACATAATAAACTGGTGCTTTATCATGCAGCCTATCTAAGCCAAAGTCGGAAGCTGTTGATCTAGGCAGTCATTTGGGGGCATCCAACCCAGGGCCCACACATGCCAGGCAAGCATTCTACTGCTGAGCTAGTGAGTACTTTTTCAAAGTTTCCCAATGACGGAGGGGGCAGGATGGAGGACCAACCCCAGGATTTGTGAGTTAATCAATTGAAATCTGAACCCACACCCAGCACTCTGGTTTTGCTCCCTAGGACAATGGCTAATCCTGCTTTTAAACTAGAAGTGGTGACATACAGCTGTGGTCCCAGCACTTGGAGAGGCTGAAGAAGATCATGAGTTCAAGGCCAGCTGGGCTATATATTGAGTTACAGCCTGGGCTGCAGAGTGAGACCTGTCTGGAACACCAAAGCAGACAAACTAGAATCCTAATCCTATGGGACCGCCCAAGCAGGTCTGACATGGAGAGTGATCAGGGTTTGGAAGGGCCTCCTTCCTGACTGCTGTGACTCCTGGGGCTTCCCTCTGTCACACTTCTGCTCTTCTGTTTTTCTTGAGAGTTTCATAAATTCTTCTGGTTGATCCTGAAGTGTTACCAGGACTCTTTCAGCCACTCACTCCTTCAATAAATTATCAAGGATCAACTACATAGTAAACATCATTCTGGAATCCAGATACTGGTGTCAATGGTAAACAAAACACCGGAAGTCCCTGCTCTCAAGGAGGTAACATGCTATCAGGTTACTTCCAACCAGGGAACCTACCCTTCAGGGACCTCTGACATTGTTACAACAGCACTGTACATTCCCCAGAGAGGTTATAGTTCTCATCAGATTCTCAAATAAGCCGTGACGAGTAAAAAGTCATCTGCAATGAGCCTGCTGTGGTACCTTACACTT